GGACAATCTATAGAAACATACGTATAACATCAAAGAATCGTGCTTCAGCTCCAGGTATGGCCCAATCGATAGGAGGCATACGTAAAATAACATGGGATTGGGAGCCCACTCCTGTTGCCTTCGAGGGCCTCCTGCTCCTGGGGCCTCTCGGGCCTCCTGTTGCCTTTCCGAGCATCCTGGCGCTTCCTGTTGCTCCTGGGGCCTCTGTGGTAGTTTCCCGAGGCCTTCTGGAGCTTCCTGGGTGGCCTCCTGGAGCCTTCTTGGGACATCCTGTGGCCTCTTGATCTTTCTTGTGGCCTCATGATGCCTCCTGGGCCTTCCTCATGTGGTCGCCAGGGGCCTCCTGGAGCCTGTTGGAGCATCCTGTGGCATCCTGAGGAGAACCTGTGCCCACGAGTCTGGCCACCTAAACAAGCAAACCGAACGAGACATCCTCAACATCTGGCCCACCTGGGGGGTGAAAATGAGCGCCTCGCTCGAGACATCCTCCAAATCTGCTCCGAAAGCGAAGGATGTTGAGCCCAGATACAAGCAAACCGCCTGAGACATCCCCACAAAATGGCCGCGAACGAGCCCGTGCAAACCACCCTGGGCGGCTCACTTAGGGCCACGAGCTGGCCACGAAATCAAGCATCGTCGAGACATCTCAAAATCTGGCCCACCTGGGGGGGTGAAGTGAGCGCCCTTCGCTCGAGACATCCTCCAAATCTGCTCCGAAAGCGAAGGATTTTGGGACCAGAAACAAGCAAACCGCCTGAGACATCCCCACAAAATGGCCGCGAACGAGCCCGTGCAACCACCCCTGGCGGCTCCCCTTAGGGCCACGAGCCTGGCCACCAAAACAAGCAAACCGATCGAGACATCCTCAACATCTGGCCCACCTGGGGGGTGAAAATGAGCGCCGCGCTCGAGACATCCTCCAAATCTGCTCCGAAAGCGAAGGATGTTGAGCCCAGAAACAAGCAAACCGCATGAGACATCCCCACAAAATGGCCGCGAACGGGAACCCGTGAATACCCCCCCCCGTTTTCGGGGGGCGGGGCCCCCCCCCTTAGAGTTGAGAGACGAGCGAACCGCCTGAGACATCCTCAACATCTGCTCCGAAAGCGAAACATGTTGGCATCAGAAAATGGCAAAAACCGCCCTTACTGAGATACATCCCCACAAAATTCCGCGAACGGGACCCGTTGAAAATACCCCCCCGCCGCCCCCCTTAGAGTTTGAATGACTTCCACCAGACTGCGTCTGAGTTGATGACTGGAAAGGGCGTCTGAGTGATGAGTGAGTCTGAGTGATGATGAGTGAGTCTGAGTGATGAGTGACTCTGAGTGATGAGTGGTGTGTTGAGTGGTGATGTGTATTGAGTGATGAGTGAGTCTTGATGAGTGAGTCTGAGTGATGAGTGAGTGGGGAATCAAAAACCCCATCTTTGGACATGGGGAATCAAGAACCCCATCTTAGGATATGGGGAATAACTTACGTGTGTGTCTGAGTGATGGGTGTGGTGTTCTGTCCTGTTCTGTGTCCTTCCGGCGCGGTCCGCCAATAACAAGAACCCCATCTTTGGATATGGGGAACAAGAACCCCATCTTTGGATATGGGGAATAACAAGAACCCCATACTTAGGATATAGGGAACAAGCAAGCCGCTTGAGACATCCCCACAAAACGGCCGCGAACGGGACCGTGCAAAACCCCTCGCCGGCTCTCCCTAGGGACGTGAAAATGGCGCGCCTCGCTCGAGACATCCTCCAAAATTGCTCCGACAGCGAAGGGTGTTGGGACAGAAAACAAGCAAACCGCTTGAGGCATCCCCACAAAACGGCCGTGAACGGGGCGCGCGTGAGTCTCACCATGAGCAAGTCTGAGTGGGAGTAAGTCTGAATATGAGTAGGTCTGAGTATGAATAATTTTGTGTACGTCTGGGTATGAGGAAGTTTGAATGTGGATCAGTCTGTTTTGAGTCAGTCTGGGTATGAGGAGGAGAGGGGAGGAGGAAAAGGAGGAGAAGTCGGCGGCGTCAAAGAAATAACAATAACCCCATGTGAGGAGATGGGGAACAACCACAACAACAGTAATTTTACGACAGTTCGCCCTTACCTGCTCCAGTGTCCAATAACGCGTATTTGCCAAACCCTCGATACCCGCCCTCTTCGTCTTCGATCGAACCCCTTTTGGAGGGTATACCTTTCTTCCCTGCAGGCCGGGCCCCGACAAGCGGCGGGGCGGCCGCGGACCGTCGGCCTGGCCAGCGGCAGCGCTGATCGGCGGGGCGGCCGCGGACCGTCGACCCAACCCCAAGAGGAACGGACAGGGGACCGACCACGACGACGACGACGACGACGACGGCGACGACGAGCAAAAGTGAGAGCGAGAGAGAACGACAGCAGGGCCACGAAGGACACGAAATAGGCCACGAAGGGCGACAGCGGGGACACGAAGGGAATGCGTATGGGGCCACGAAGAGCGCGATCGAGCGGAGGCCACGAAACGCAGCTATTGCGGGGCCACAGAAGGCAGCGATGGGGCCACTGAGGGTAGCAACTGGGCCACGTAGGACAGTGAGTGGGCCAGAAAAGGCGACAGCGTGGCCACGAAAGGCATGCACATGGGGCCACAACGGACACGATTCCTGGGTGCCTGGGTGTCGGGAGCGCGGCGCTTGAGCAAATTGCAAGAGATTCCAACGCAAGAGTGCTGTTCTTAAGTAAATTGCAAGCAAGTCTCCAGCGAGAGCGCGACTCCAGAGCGCCGGGAGAGCGATTCCTGAATAAATTGAAAGGAAGTCCCAAGCGACAGCGCGATTCCTGAATCAAATGTGAGGAAGTCTCGGGCGGGAGCGGGGGTCCTGGCTAAATTGCAAGGAAGTCTCAGGCGGGAGCCGTCGTTGTTGTTTTTGTAACCTGGGGGCCAGGGACAGTTTGACCATCAAGATTTCCCCTGTCAAAAAACAGGGTGCGAGCGAGCGTCGAGGGGCAACCTTTGATGGAGAAAAACAAAATGCACCGGTGGGGGATCAACAATAATTATTCTTCAGATATGAGAGTTCAACAACCATACAAAAAAAAAACAACATTAACAACAGCAACAACAACAACAGCAGCAGCAACAACAACAACAGCAACAACAACAACAACAACAGCAACAATTACTAGCACGTGGGGACACTCCGTTCTCACCAGTGCCAGGGTTTCCATAGGAGGCGGGCAATACCCCCACTTTGTGGGGGGGCCGGTTCAAGCTCTACCAAATTTCCAAACGACTCTTCGCCACCACCCACACCCAGCTTCCCGCCCTATGACGTTCGGACACTTCACTTCGTGGCATGAGGACGACCGTGGCTACTATTCAGGGCCCCGCGGCCGACGACGACGGCGTGCGCGCGCGAAGAAAAAACGAATGTGTCCCGCAAGGTATTATTTGACAGGGATGATGGCCCTGGCAGGTGCGCAACCGTTGTTGCAGAAGTTCGAAAAAGTTGCTCGCAAAAGCCCGTTTGACAGAAATGTTTAAAAAGTGTTGGGTTTCCTACGAATCCGCAAGAGCGCGCGGGATGAAATTTCGACATTTTTTTTTGAAGAACCATTGGTTTTTTTATGTTTTTACGTTAAAATCGCTACGAAAACTAAGGTGTTGGAAGGATTTCGTCTTGCGCGCGCGAATGTCCACTTTACCTTATTTTTGCAAGGGATTCTTGAAATTTGATTATATTAGAACAAGAAATGTCATTTTATAGTGTTTTTTGCAAGGGAAAGCGGGGGGGAACAAAACAACCGGATCTTGATCACATCGAATTACCTGAGGCTTCCTCACGAAAATGATGAAAATGTAGCTGCGGCCTAGGCGGCGCAGGGGGGCCGTGCACCAGGGGTCCCAACAATAATTTTTCTTTAGAATTAATAATGTTCAACAACAACAACAATTACTAGCACGTGGGGATACTCCGTTCTCACCAGTGCCAGGGTTTTCATAGGAGGCGGGCAATACCCCCACTTTGTGGGGGGCCGGTTCAAGCTCTACCAAGTTTCCAAACGACTCTTCGCCACCACCCACACCCAGCTTCCCGCCCTATGACGTTCGGACACTTCACTTCGTGGTATGCGGACGACCGTGGCTACTATTCAGGGCCCCGCGGCCGACGACGACGGCGTGCGCGCGCGAAGAAAAAACGTATGTGTTGCTATTAGTTTGTTGATGTTCTTTTAATGACCGCCGACTGCAGGCTATTGCTTGGTCCCTTCGTGTGTCTTAAGTCGGTCACGTGGGCGTCTGTGGGTATTGTTGTCTTACTCGTAGTGATTACGATTTGCTGGTTGCGTGCTTGTGTTTTGTAGCGGTCCAATGTCCCTTCATAGCCCTTGTCGAAGGGTCTTCTTGTCCCGCATGGTATTATTTGACAGGGATGATGGCCCTGGCAGGTGCGCAACCGTTGTTGCAGAAGTTCGTAAAAGTTGCTCGCAAAAGCCCGTTTGACAGAAATGTTTAAAAAGTGTTGGGTTTCCTTCGAATCCGCAAGAGCGCGCGGGATGAGATTTTGACAACTTTTTGTTGAAAAACCATTGGTTTTTTATGTTTTTATGTTAAAATCGCTGCGAACACTAAGGTTTTGGAAGGATTTCGTCTTGCGCGCGCGAATGTCCACTTTACCTTATTTATTGCAAGGGATTCTTGAAATTTGATTATATTAGAACAAGAAATGTCATTTTCTATTGTTGTTTGCAAGGGAAAGCGGATTACAACAAAACAACCGGATCCTGTACACACCCTCTTTTCTGAGGCTTCCTCACGCAAATGATGAAAATGTAGCTGCGGCCTAGGCGGCGCAGGGGGGGCGCGCACCAGGGGGCCCAACAATAATTATTCTTTAGAATAAATAATGTTCAACAGCAACAACAACAACAACAACAACACAACAACAACAAGCAGAATCCTCACCAAGGATTCTCACTTCAGCCACGCACCCAGGGACAATGAATGACCGTTCGGCCCCCTCACTCTGACTTGTCTGGGCGCGAGTGGCGCAGGTGGTGATGTCGGTGCGCCGACCCGTCACAGAGGCACTCCTCACTATCAACTCCGAAGCGCCAGGCTACAGCGGGGCACTTATGCACGACGCTCTGCCAGCGAGCAATTCGCCCCGCCTGGAGCATCTGGTCGCACGAGTCAAGCCTCGACCATGACGGGAGCAGCTGCCCGATCAGCAATTCTCGAAGCCTGCGGTCGAATGCCTTGTGGTCTGGGATGCTGCCCAAGATCGCCTCCTTTTCCTGTGGCATGCTGGCCTGCGCGCTGCTGATTGACAGGCGGGCAAGTCCGCCCTGCCTCTTCTCCAGGTGGGGCAGGGATGGCAGCCGTAGCGACTGGGACATGCCTGTTGAGTGGGCGGCAGCAATCTCGGCCATGCACCAAGCCCGGTTGAAGATATCGAAGCGCCTGTCAACTGCAACCACCTGGGCAAACTTATCGTTGCCAGCTGACAGCGACATCATCAGTTGATCAAACTTGTTCATCTCACTCCTGGTCTGTGAGCGTGTTCCATCGCTCGCAAGAGGCGGAGTGGCGTTGAACGTTTTTGGCAGGCCGCACGAGCAGAGGGGGTAGGGTTCGCCCGTCACTGAATCCCTCCTAGAACACAGATTCGTCGCGCAGATGCTGGTGTGCTGATTCACCGAGAGGGCGCATACCCAGTACGTTTGAGATCCAACGTTTGACTGGGCAACCCACCTCATGAGGGTGTTGATGTCGTGAATGAGCAGGACCGCCACCTTGCAATACTCACTCTCGGAAAGAGCGTCTGACACAATAGCCGCAACCAGATCGGTAAAGATGTTCCCCCAGTTGTGAGTCACCATCTTGTCGGGCCGCACAGGGCTGTGGCCCATCATGACTTCAGCCATAGATGTTTTGCTATCTGCCGACAGTGGAATGATGGCGCCTCGGACCACGTCCTCCGTGGTGTGCTTCGAAGGGTCGAAATACGGCATCACGTCCTTGCCCAACCTGCAATAAAACTCCAGCAGCGCCTGCAGCGTGAAGCCCCTGCCGGCCAACTCTTCGACTTTGGCGTTCCAGTTTGTATCGGGATGTGGGCTCCACTCCGCGGAAAACTGTTTCCAAGTTCGGTGGCGCTGACGCGCCGATCGGATCGTGGACAATCCTCCGCTGAGTGCCCCGAAGGAAGCTCCACTGAGGGCCAGGGCGGCAAAGGCGTTCAACGTGGTGTCGACCAAACTCACAGACTGCACCGCGATCAAGAACTCGGGTGTCCTCTCGTCCACAGGACGCCCCAATATTGGCCAAGCCAGATCTGATGCCCACATTCTGACCATGAGTGCGACGCAGAAGCTCACGACCGCCATGGATGATCCCACCATCTGGAATATCAGAACCCGGGGGGCGCTCTTAATCTCCTCGGTGGAGGCCCCTCGCCGCTGCGTCTCGCGCGCCATCGCCAGCACTCGCCAGAACGCCTGCAAGAACACGACCAACGCCACCATGAACGACACATCCCCAGCCCAAACGAGAGTGCCCATTATGATACGCGAAGGATGGCCAGGAGGTCCGCCCGCGAACCTGCTGCAGATGAACGCGGACATGGCGAAGATTAACATGGTCACCATGATTCGGCGAAGGCGCAGGGAGCCGAGATCAAGAAACGAACTTCGTTCCAATGCCCTTACCTGACGCAGCAGCAGCAGGTAGAATAGTGCCATGTTCACGGGAAGCAGAAAACCACTAATTATGGCGAATGGCTCCCCGTTCAGTCCGTTGCATTGGAGCATACTGTACACCGCGAAAGTCAGCACTTCCAACCACAGACAGGTCGCATACTCTGCTACTCTGCACATGTGACTCGTGGCCGCGAAAGCGAGCAAGCTGAATGCGGACGGCGCGGTGACCGCCATGGCCATGACCTGCACAGCGAAGATGCCGCGGTGCGCTTCCGCCGCCTCCGCGGCGCCCAGATGCGTCATGCGCACGAAATGGTCCACATCGTCCTCGCACTCCTTGACGGTCCCCTTGCCACCGCTCGCGATTGCGGCTACGATCACGCTCAACGTTAGAACGACCACCAGCACAGCGAGCGCTCTGTGCACCACGCCGCTCAGGCCTTGCCAGAAACTTACGCAGAGACCAGCGTGGCTGCAGCGCTTCTTCGCGTTCTCGACGCCCGCGGCGAAGGTCCTCATGTCATCGTGTTGCTTGAGGCGAACTGCGGCGTTCCTGTGTCAAGAGAGCACTGCCGGACTCGGGCACGAGATGCTTGAGCCAAACTGGCTACGGCCTCTCCTGGCCCCATCTTGGGGGCTCCGCGGTTGAGAATGTGAAAAGGCCGACCGGACATACACGCCAAGTGCCACCACCCGTAGCACTCGCTAAGTGCGGGAGCACTTAGCGTGCAATGCCGATTCCTAAGTGCACGCTTAGAGTAGGAACCCGACCATACATCCTTCGTCGACTCTGAGCCTCGCAAGTTGCCCCGAGGACCTGCGGGAGATAGGACAGCGTCGTGGGCCACTCGGTGGCAAGCCAGGTTCTCATCTTGTGCGCCTACTGTATAAGTTTCAGCCCACCGCTTTGGCAAACTCGAATACAGCACCACTCAGGGTGGCCACAGCCGTCAGTTCGCCGGGCCTTTCCTGGGCGTTCTCGGGCCCCCTTGGGGCCCTCTTGGGGCCCCTCTTGAGCTTTCATGGGGCCTGCTCGGGGCCCTCTTGCCCATCCTCCCACGGTGCTCCCAGTTCTCATTGTCAGGGGAATGGGAATCAAATGGCGGCAGTAGGCGCTTTCCCCAACTTACGTGCACCTAAACTACCCCCCTGTTCCCTGTCCCCCCTCCCCTCTCCACCAATGTTGTATCTTTTCCCTCACACTCCTTTTTCAGACTTCCCTCTTGGGGTGTTCCTTGGGTTGTCTTGGAGCACTGTTGTGGGCCATCATGGCCCCTCTTGGGTTCGCCGGGCCCTTCCTGGGCGTTCTCACAGCCCCCTTGGGGCCCTCTTGGGGCCCCTCTTGAGCTTTCATGGGGCCTGTTCGGGGCCCTCTTGCCCACCCTCCCACACTGCTCCCCGTTCCTATTGTCAGGGGAAGAGGGGACCTGGCGGCAGTAGGGCGCGTTCCCCAACCAACTTAGCGTGTACTTAGACTGCCCCCCTCTTCATCTCCGCTCTATTTTGTCATTTCCCTCCCACTTCTTTCTGCACTTCCCTGGGTGCTCTTGGGGGTATTCGTTGGGTTCTCTTGGAGCGCTGTTGTGGGCCATGGGGGCCCCTCCTGGGTTCGCCGGGCCCTTCCTGGGCGTTCTCGGGGCCCCCTTGGGGCCCTCCTGGAGCCCTCTTGAGCTTTCATGGGGCCTGCTCGGGGTCCTCTTGCCCACTCTCCCACGGTGCTCCCCGTTCCTATTGGCAGTACAGCGCTTTCCCCCCCCCCCCCCTTACGTGTAAACGGAATGCCCCCCCTCTTCCCTCTCCTCCCCACCCCTGTTGTTTTTCCCCGCCCACTTCTTTTCTCGACTTCCCTTGGTGCTCTTGGGGTATTCGTTGGGTTCTCTTGGGGCGCTGTTGTGGGCCATTGGGGCCCCTCTTGGGTTCGCCGGGCCCTTCCTGGGCGTTCTCGGGGCCACCTTGGAGCTCTCTTGGGGCACCTCTTCAGCTTTCATGGGGCCTGCTCGGGGCCCTCTTGCCCACCCTCCCATCCCCGTTCCAATTGTCAGGGGAATGGGACTGAAATGGCGGCAGTAGGGCGCTCTCTCCCAACTGAGCGTGTACCTGGAATGCCCCCCTCTTCCCTCTGCCCCCTCCCCTCTCCACCCCTTCTGTCTTTTCCCTCCTAGTTCTTTTCTAGACTTCCCTGGGTGCTCTTGGGTTTTCTTGGGGCGCTGTTGTGGGCCATTATGGCCCCTCTTGGGTTCGCCGGGCCCTTCCTGGGCGTTCTCACAGCCCCCTTGGGGCCCTCTTGGGGCCCCTCTTGAGCTTTCATGGGGCCTGTTCGGGGCCCTCTTGCCCGCCCTCCTCCGCTACTCCCCGTTCCTCTTGTCAGGGGAATGGGACTGAAATGGCGGCAGTGAAGCGCTTTCCCCTCACTTGGCGTGTACCTGGAATGCCCCCTTCTCTTCACCCTCCCCCCTCCCTTCTCTACCCATTCTGTCCTTTCGCTCCCACTTGTTTTAGACTTCCTGTTGGGTTCTCCTAGGGCGCTGTTGTGGGCCATTGGGGTCCCATTTTGGTTCGCCGGGCCCTTCCTGGGCGTTTTCGGCCCCCCCATTGGGGCTCTCTTGGGGCCCCTCTCGAGCTTTCATGGGGGCCATCTTGCCCACCTTCCCACCGTGCTCCCCGCTTCTATTGTCAGGGGAATGGGACTGTCGTGCTGGCAGTAGGGCGCTTTTCTCCAAACTTAGCGTGTACCTGGAATGCCCCCCTCTTCCCTCCCCCCCTTCGCTCCTCTTGCCTTTTCCCTCCCACTTCTTTTTCAGAGTTCCCTGGGTGCTCTTGGGGGCACTTGCTGGGTTCTCTTGGGGCGATGCTGTGGGACGTTGTGGCCCCTCTTGGGGTCGCCGGGCCCTTCCTGGGCGTTCTCTTGGGGCCCTCTCGGGGCCCTCTCGGGGCCCCCCTTGGAGGAGGCCTGCTCCGGGGCCCTTTTGCCCACCTCCCCCGCTGCTCCCCGCTCCTATTCTCAGGGGAGGTGGGGCCGAAACGGCGGCAGCAGGGGCGCTCTCCCAGCACTCAGCGTTCACCCGAAATTGCCCCCTCCTCCGCACCCTCCTCCCCCTCCCCTCTCCACCCCTTCTGTCCTTGTCCCTCCCAGTTCTTCTCTGAACTGCCCCGGCTGCTCTTTGGGGGGCACTTGTTGGCCGCGGTCTCGGGGCCCCCTTGGGGCCCCCTTGGGACCCCTCTCCCCCCACTTATCACTTAGCGTGTACCTGGAATGTTCCCTCCTCTTCCCTCTCCGCAGCCCAAGAGGCATCCAAGACGCCCAAGATGACATCCAAGACGGCCCTGGAGCACCCCAAGGGGGCTCCAAGTCGGCGTCAGACGGGCCCGGAGCCCACCAAGACGGCCCAAGATGGCCCTAAGATGGCCCAAGACGGCCCAGGAGCCCTCCAAGAGGATTTCCCTCAGGTTTCTGAAGGATTTGGGCATTTGCTTCTTTTCGGCCTTCGACGGGCCGAGAAAGCCCAAGAGCCCCCAAAGATCGCTCCAAGATCGCCCAAGAGGCTTCCAGGATGGCCCCAGAGCGACCCAAGAGGCCCAACAAAACGGCCCAAGAGGCCTCTAAGACGCCCAAGGTGGCTTCAAAGACGGCCCTCGAGCGCCCCAAGAGGCCCCAAGTTGGCGTCAGACGGGCCCGGAGCACACCAAGAAGGCCCAACATGGTTTAAGGTGGCCCAAGATGACACAGGAGGCCTCCAAGAGGGCCTCTCCAGGAATTCCCGAAGAGCTCAACATCATTGATTTTCTTAGATTGTCGAGAGATTTTTTCATTTGCTGCTTTTCGGCCTTCCGACGGCCCGAGATGGCCCGAGAACCCCCAGAGATCGATCCTAGATCGCCCAAGAGGCCTCCAGGATGGCCGCAGAAAGGCCCAGGAGGCCCCCAGGACGGCCCCCAAAGGGCCCCAAGACGGCCCAAGAGGCTTCCAAGACGCCCAAGATAGCCTCCAAGACGGCACTGGAGTACCCCAAGAGGGTCCCATGTCGGCCCAGAGAGGCCGCCAAGACAGCTTCCGACGGCGTCAGACCGGCAAGGAGCCCATCAAGACGGCCCAAGATGGCCTCCAAGCTGGCCCAGGAGGCCTCCAAGAGTGCCTCCACGGCCCACAAAGGGCCCCAAGCAGCCTAAGACGTCTCCAAGACGCCCAATATGGCCTCTATGACGGCCCTGGAGCACCCCAAGGGCCTTGGGGGCTCCAAGTCGGCGTCAGACGGGCCCGGAGCCAACCAAGATGGGCCAAGATGGCCCTAAGATGACCCAAGACGGCCCAGGAGGCCTCCAACAAGGCCTCCAGGAAGGCCCGAAGAGGCCAACATCTCGGGTTTTCTTTCAGGAGGCCCCTAACAGGGCCCCAAGACGGCCTCAAGAGAGCTTCAAGCAGCAGAACAAGAGAGTCCGCGGGAAGCCCCGGAAGGGCCACCAGAGGATCCCCACACGGTCAGAGAGGGCCCCCAGAGGGCCCCAAGACGGCCTCAGCCCCTCATGACGGGCCAAGTTCAGCGAGCACGTTGATGGTATTCTAAAACAAACGAACAAGAGAAATGTGTGATTGCTTTCTTGGGTAAGACGGGGCTGCTCGGGCTCGGAAGCATGAAAAGGTAGGGATTCATGATACCCTTGGCGTGTGCGTATGACTGCGATGAGCAACATGTCAGACTGTAAGATGATAGTCCTTTAATGCGCCAGCGTGCCTTCAGCACGTCGTGAGTGAAGTGCCCCCGGGCTCATGCAGTCGAAAGGAAGAGGGTTTGAAGGTCCTGAATGCCCAGACCACGAAATTCGTGGGCAATTCGTGGGCTTGCGCGTGGGCCTCTCGGACGGTGATCCAGCTCAGAACCACAAGAATGGTCGGCCTCTCGGCCCGAAGAACACCCATGTTTCTGGAGAGATACCCAAGAGCGTCCAAAAGAGCCTCAAGACGGCTCCAGAACGCGTCAAAACTTCTATCGATAATTACTACCCTTCAGACGGCCCAAGAGGCCGCCAAGAAGCCCCAAAAGAGCTCCCGGAAAAAACTCAAGAGGGCCCCAAGAGTCCAAATTCATTGATGCTCCGTTGGCTGCGTTCTCGCCTTTTCGGGCTTCCGACGCTCCGAAGACGGCAAAGAGGCGCCCATGACCGTTCCACGAACGCCTGACCCAAGAG